TTCAGTTTAATGCAGATACGTCCATCTTGTGTCCATGTCTTATCAATGATTTTCTTGAATTTGTTTCTAACCTTCCAGAGTAGTTCTTTCCGCTTCTTAGTGAGGCTTTCATTGATGTAGACATGGTGATTATTCTCATCGCTAAGATTCTTTAGCTTGAATCGTGCACTGTAGACTTGCTCTCGGGTGCGATAGCTATTGAATTTAACGATGATATTCCTGGGTGTGTGGCTATAGTTGGTCGTCCCGATGCGCGGTTTCGTCGATCCGTCGCTTTGGGGTTTCTGCTGCCCAAGTCGATGACTACGTTCGACGTCATCCATCTTGATATCGACACCGAGAGAGAGAGAGAGAGGGAGCGAGAGAGAGAGAGAAGGAAGGAAAAGCAGGGAAAGAAAGAAGACGAAGAAGAAAAGAAAAGTGGGAACACGGAGATCGGGGGAGGGCTTTGCATACAAGGCTGTTGCCCCCCACCCCCACCCCAACACCACACCCACCCCAGCAAAAAAAAAAGAGAAGGCAGGAAAGGGAAAGAAAAAGGGAATGAGGAGCTAAAGGGAAGGGAAAAACGAAGAAGAATTGGCGGGAATCATCAGAATCGATGGATAGCGCCGATAAACTCGACAAAAACAACAACAGGGGGAGGCCCTTTCATAGAGAGAGATTAGAATTTGTTAACAACAATAAACAGAAAGAGAAGGAGCTCCTCACATACACACAGTGGCGTAGCTAAAATCAGGAAATCGAGGGGGCACTGGCATCATGCGGGGGGGGGGGGGGCACCGGTTTTACTCGGAAAATTAAATGCGAATTTACAAGGCCACTTGTTAGGAGGGGGGGGGGGGTCATGCGAAAACGAGTCCAATTGTGTTTTATCTTCCTTTTTTCCTTTTTCTCTTTTTCTTTCATTCAAATAGACGTGCCGTGCTCCACGTGCCCCCCCCCCCTCCCCCGTTCTCCCACTGCATGCAAAGGGTAAATTCCGAAATGTACAATTTTTTCCAACAAAGATATTGAGTAGGGATGGTGTCACGACCACATCGAGCTTTTAAGGCGGTCACATTATTTTGTCCGATAACGATAACGATAACGAGATTTCAGTTAAAGGTACAACCTACTATACGTGTGAGCATGTGCATGTCTTTTAAAGGTAAAGACCAGTTATGGTCATGCGATTGCATTGTGAAAGAAAAGTTGTGGAATCGATCAAAAAAGGTTGATCATCTAGCATCTAGCATCTGCAAGGTTCTGGAATCATCAAAATGATAAGAAATTCGGCCCATTCTTCGTACAAGTTACAAGCACTATACACAGAAAGATGTATATGGGACTACCCTATATCTCTCACAGACCATGAGAGAAACAAATTTACCAAATATATGAATAAGTGGGCGGTTTGCGGCAAATTTTTTATCATGTATTAGTCAAAACATATTCTTTCACGTAATTGGTAATGAGAGCTTCGATTTCATTTTTTGAAATTGGGGCGTTTCCAATACTGGTCTCTACCTTTAATGGGTCAATGTCGCTAGTCATAAGGACAGCTATCCATAAGGTCCGCTATTCATAAGGTCCGTTATTTATAAGGACCGCTATTCATAAGGACGGCTTTTCATAATTTGAGAAAAGGGTCATTATTCATGAGGTTCATTATTCATAAGGACCGCTATTCATAATTAAAGGAGAGGGTCGGTATTCATAATATGAGAAGAGGGTCGCTATTCATACTACAAAATCTGGGTCGTTATTCATAAGGGTCGCTATTCATAATAAGAGCAGAGGATCGCTATTTATAATACGACATGAGGGTCACTATTCATAATAGGATAAAAGGGTCGCTATTCATAACACGAAATGAGGGTCGCTATTCATAATACGAAATGAGGGTCGCTATTCATAAAACGAGAAGAGAATCACTATTCATAATAAGAAATGAGGGTCGCTATTCATAATAGAGAGTTAAGGGTTGCAATTCATGATACGAAATGAGGGTCGCTATTCATAATGCGAAATGAAGGTCGCTATTCATAATAGGAATAGAGGGTTGCTATTCATAATATACATTCCACCCAAAAATGAAGGTCGCTATTCATAAAAAGAGAAGAGAATCGCTATTCATAATGCGAAATGTGGGTCGCTATATAATACTGGGTAAGGAGTAGCAATTTTTGGCAAAGGTAACTCCTTCCGGATACTTTTAAATGTTAAATTCATTTTATTCGACTGATTTGAGTTGATGTTAATTTATTTCCATATACATGTACATCACTATTATAGTTGCAATCCTGTCGATGTGTAGATTTTGTGTTAGATTTGTTTATTTGGTTCAGTTTCATTTATTTCTCCTCAAGAGATCAACAGATAAAAATACATATATAAACAGACAAATGAATGACAATACATGTGCTAGTCGATCCTTACGCCTTACAGCTAAATAATGCATTTTGTACAAGTAACCTTCAGGAGAGAAAAAAAGGAATTTACCATTACAATCGATACTAAAAAATAGACTACAGTTTAACAATGTCTTATAAGTTACAAACTTATAATATGAAAGAGAATTTTTGTACATATACAGACTATTTGCATGGATTTTTAATTTATGATTTGTTCAACACATGTATGGTTACATAGTCTGTGATGAATAGGTAATCTATTACAAAATTCAAAAGACAATTAAAATCGACCTTGTGTCGTTCTACATTTTGGAAGACGTAATTAATTGTCCACCTTCTGTTTGCCTCGTCAAGTAGCTTTACTCTAGAATGGCACAATAATCTATCAAAACTTGAGGCAAATGTTTATTAAACAGATCAGACATGAAGGTCGAGATCGATAAATCATCCTAATTATACAAAGTTAGGATTCGCAATCTTTTAAGTATTGGAGCTGTAGGAGTTCTCCAATCTCTAAATGTCAGAAAAAAACACGAACTGCAATTTTCTGTGAATATAATATGCTTCTTGATAGGCTAACCTTATTATCGCGTTCCCACACCTATATTCAGCAGGTTATGTGTGGTTTTTATCCACGTTTCATATGATAATGTCGAGTATGCCTAGGAACAAAATGTCGCAATCTGAACAAAAAAACACTCTATCTTCCTTCCTAACACACTGATTTACATAACAAATATGACTATTACATGAAAGATGTCTATCATAAGTGGCAATATCAACCTCTTTGACTTCCTCTCCAGCTGTTTCCAGTTTACCATTTAATACTTTTTTTGTTACTCTTATTTTTCAACATGAAATAGGTTTTCATTGAATTAGTTTTTAGCAATATTCAATTCAATTCAATTCAAATGAGGTTTTATTCAAGACTTGTCAAAAAATCCAAAGACTAAAAATGCAAGTTTACATTAAACATACAATCATTTAAAAAAAAAACCCATTGCTTTGCATTAAAAAAACATATTATATATATATATAAAGAAAACATAACAAATGAAAACAAATATATAAAAATGAATAAATGTTTACATCAAAACAAATACAATGTATCCAGATACGTGTATTCAATAACATAGGAACAACTGCGATAAAATACAATACAAATTCCATTCAGAAGGTATAATGAGTATCAAAAAGTATTAACAAGTATTAAGAATGGAGTTTTGGCAGTGTGCTAATCACAAGTGTGACATGATGTATAAACATATTGCACATGAAAAAAATGAAAGTCCTTTATAGGTATTATTGGTCACAGTAAGAATAGCAGATAATTAAAGAATGCTGCACTGTAAAACATCATCAGAAGAGAAAGAGGTGAAGAGGAGGAGGGGGAGACAGAAAGTGAGAGAGAGAGAGAGAGAGAGAAACAGAGAGGAGGAAGGAGAGACGAAGGGAGAAAGAGGAAGAGGCAGAGAGAGAGAGAGACAAACAGATAGAGAGCTGAGGGAGAGGGGAGGGAGTGAAATAGAAATAGAAAGGAAAGACTTAAACTGAAGAAGAGAAAAGGAAATTGAAAAGTAGCAAGTTCAAATAGAGAAAAGGGATGGGAGAGTGAGAGGAAGGATAACAGTACATGCAATATCAAAATATCAATGAATGAAACCTGCTGTGCCTATCATCATGACAGTTAATATTGCACATAATTATATTGCTGAAATACATGACATATAACATACTGATAATTACCTGCAATGCACCAATTTTTCTGTGTGTTGTAAAAAACTTCATCCATATTAATTTTCCCCTGATCAGCTGGAAAAGTATGAACTATGTTAGAATCATCGGAAAACAGCCGCAAATCGAAATAATCAGTTACTGATGGTAGATCATTTATTTAGATAAAAACAGAGTTGGCCATAGTACTAATCCTTGTTGAACACCACATCTTATATTATTCCTTATATATAACGTTAGACCACATTGAACAATCTGGGTCTGTTACTAAGATAGTCCTTAAACCATGCAAAAGGTTAAACTCGAATGCCATGATGAGAGAGATTAGAGATAGTAGTATATTAAGATTAATGGTGTCAAAATTACTTTCTTAAAATCGATGAATATGCCTAGAGAGAATCTCACTTCGTTCCTGTAAAAGCAACCAATGTAATAATCCTATTTAAATGCAGCGAATATACAGTGCGTCCCAGAAAAAACGAAACCGAGAATTATCGATGTTTTATCATAACTTAATCACAGTTATAATTAATGTCCCACTTGAGATCGGATTTTAAGTGCACACCCAGTATCTTCTGGGATTCCGTTTTTTCAGAGGCCCATCATTGATATGGAACAGATTGAGCCTGTTCCCTACTAGTAATCACTACTGTCTGTGTCATCATCTTCCATTTGATCCTTCCGAGGACCAGCTGACTTTGTTCCCTCAAACGCATAGTTCTCGCAGAGCTCTTGGCAATCTCCACGATTCATGCGTTCGAACGCCTTGGCCAAGTCCCCAAGATTCTGAATCTTCTTTTGACTCTCAGCAAGTACGAGTAGTTCTTCAGTCGGATTCTTGCACTGCTCGAGTGATTGTATGTAGTCTTGAAGTCCAAGCTGATTGGCAAGACCCCTCCAGTCATCGTAAACTGGGCTTTCTCTGTTCAACCGACAACGCAGTTCATGCTGTAGCCTAGGAGGTACTATGGAAGCCATAGGAACAGGGGTAGGGGCAACAGTATTTCCTTGGGGATTATTTCCTTAAGGATTATGCCCTTGGGGATTGTTGATGACCATCTCTCGGACGTAGATATTGACGTTCCCAGAACGCTGGGGTATTTGGTCTGCTGAAAGTCCTGGAATGAATTCTTGGACAATGTTTGTCACAATTGGTGGTGGGGCTAAGTCTCCCATTGTCCCCTCTGCTGCAGACTCTAATGAACGGACGGGCACTGTCGATGATGTCGATGGAGCTTAAAACAAAATGAACAAAATTATTACATCGTTCATATTTACAAAGAGCATGTAAAGGAAATAAGCGTATATCACAATACATACGCTTCGACAGGACTTTAGATATTATTACCCCGGTTAAGTTCCAGCAACCGTTTAAGGTAGCCTGCCCACGTATTACACATGGATTGAGTGTAGCATAATATATATATATATATATTAATGTTTTGCCAAAGTATTTCGTTCTTTACTATCTGTAACATAAAATTAAATGTCAGTAACTACTCACCTTAAAGTTACGATTGATTGAGGAGATAAGATTATTTTGGGGGGAGATCAAATTGATTTTTTTTTAATGTTACAGAGCCCAGAACACGACTTTATCTCTCAGCTCCTTACCAATTGCTACTGTCTCCGTTACCAAATCATCTATGACTTGGTAGGCATGTTCACATGACGGTGACTCTGTCGATGGTGGAGTCAATGGCCTAGGTATTGTAAGGACATCAGTATGACTTCCGTCTGAAATAAAGCAACGTAAAAAAAAAAAGCTTTTAGAAAATGATTAAACCAAACTCCGACCTGTTCTGTAAAGAATTATGACTGATCCGTTATCTATTGCATGTCGACCGTCGAATTATATTGTATTACTTTGCTTTATTGACATGTTTGAGATAAAATCATGGAACATGTAGCGAAGAGTTGTTAAATATTATACGGTATAAAAAATACATTGATAATACATTACATGATATTTAGAACAAAGGCCAATTACAAGAACATAGTCCGCAGTAGCAGTTCTAGTTCCCCCCCCCCCCTCTCTCTCCTCCTCCCCCCAAAAGCACATTATGTAGAAAACGATTGCTAGAAGACCTCATCACTGCATCGCCCTGCGCCAACCAAAAAATAACACAATATTTATACATGTATTCCTCCAGAACCGCTCCTGATATAGTCTTACCCTTTGTGTCTGCAGGCTCAGGTGATGTTGGAACTATCGTTTCAAGATGATGCTCGCTTCTCGTCAGCTCTTCGGAGAACTGAGATGCTGAAAATGCAATAATCAATGAAAATCAAATCAGAATCAAGTCTCAATTGCACACATATAATGTAAATTTGTTCGACTTTCTTCAAATCGTCACTTTACAATAAGAAAATTGTTTCATATATCAAGCTCGTCGACATCCCATTGAATGCGTGTTAATTTGTACACACGTTTTACATTTGTACCAATGACGGTGATACGATGCCCTGCATACCGAAAGGAAAAATAGTATTAATATATATATTATTTTTAAATCTTACATTTGGATGTTCCTCGTCCAACATCAGTTGGTTCAGCTTTGCCTTTGGACGATGCAGATCCCATCGGCTTTGATTGGGCTATTGGATTCACATGGGGCACATCTTAATTGTGAATATATGATATCAACGTGATGAGAAGTGATTAGCCTAAAATGATAACTTTTCCAAATTTGAGTCACTTGCCATGGTGGTTTTGCTACACTAAATGATTGCACGTAAAAATAATGTGTAGGCCTATATAATATAATATACATGTATGTATATAGGGAACAAATAATTCGTGTTGATAATCCTCCCTCACGGCGATATAGAAATAATAATTAAAACGATTGAAATTAAAGTCTTTAGAGTTCTCTCCTTCACTATGACCGGTTTCATTTTTATCCCAATTGTCTAATTATTATTTATATGTTTATACATAAACAGGGTGGTCAAATGATGTTAGGTCAAATTCACTTGTACCAGCAGTAGTATAATATTTTCACATGAAAAATTATACCAAGATCGTCAACACTAGTAAAAAAAAAAAATTAATTTTGTTTTCGGGAGCATTATGTCCAGAATCATGAAAAAAAGGGGTTTAAAAAGTCGTATAATCTCATGTCTTTATCACACAAGACGTTAAAAACGCCCGAAAAGAAGGAAAGCATGTTTGTGGAAAGTAATTGTTAAATCTGATGTGTAACAGCTTGTCCGAAGCTCAGGCAAATAACCAATCCTGAAACTGCAAAAAATAAGATTTTCTCTGCCACCACTGATAGTGAAAGCCTTTAGGCCACTTTTAACACCCCGTCCCCCAAAGAAATCATGCCCTTGAACTAACCGTTGTATAGTACTTGGAAGGCGATATGCTTTGTGATTTTTTGCTTCAAGATGAGAGTGACAAGAACTCCGGGAACTGTTTTTTCACGTGGCTGAAGAATGAACGGCATCGTGTGGGTGTTCATGTCAAAGAAAGCACATTCTTCAAGTTCCTAGGGAAATCAGAAATACCATCAAATAACAACCTATGAAGTTATAGGAACTACTCCATGATTCATTCTGATCTAAAACTGACACCATGAATTATGGCCCATGCGGGCGCGTACGCAGGGGGTGGTTTGGGGGGGGGGGGGGGGGGGGGGTCGAACCTCCCTCAATTTTTGTTGGTGTGTTTTGAAGAACCCCCCTCCCCCTCATTACCCCCCAAAAGTGACCTTACCCCCCCCCCTCCCCCCCCCCCCCCCCCACCCAACGGAACGAAATATAGATCGGGCAAATTTTAAAATTACGTTATTTTCAGAGGCTCATCATTGAGACGCAAACATGGAGTTTTGATGGAACGTCCCATGAGGTTCACAGTCATGGCATTGCTGTACGCGGTATTGAATTTCATGTCATTGTCTTTACTCCAATTTTCTAATTCGTCACGATGGTCCTGTAGTTTCGGAGATGCCGATTTTGTGCGAATCTCGAGAAGGCTTAGGTCGTAAACATATTTCAAATGATGCTCGATATCATGTGCGGCATTATTCACCAGAGCTAGGAACATCAACGGGCCTAATTCTGTTCCCTGCGGAACACCGCATATTATTTATGCTAAGATTCTTACCAGTGTCGAAACTTCGTCTTTGTTTTCCAGATGTCTGACTAGTAGGGGTCCGTGTCCCCAATATACGCAGTACTGCCCACTTTGAAAGGCTACCTTGAAGTCTGGTATGATATCCTGCAAAAGGTTGAACATATATGAAAAATATTGGCAGAATGATAATAATAATTTCAATAATTGCACTAATGCTGTCTTTTGAGATGGCACTGTTATATACTCCAGCAATTACAAGGTACTCAGATACACATGGGTGGCAAATACGGATTAATGTCTTGCCAAAGAACGTTAGCACCGGGCAAGCATTCGAACCCTCAACCATTGGATTCAGAGTCAAGTGAATGAACGACTATACCACAACACCTCCACAAAAACGGGTGATGATTATTACTTCAAGATGTGAAACGGTTATCAGGGTAGAATTATTAAAGCTGTGATTTTGTTAACTGGTTATGACCCCTCCCCCACACCCCCACCCCCACACCCCTACCCCTCCGTGCACGGACCCCCTACTCATAAAACGGTACACAATCAAGTATTGACATCGTAACCAAATGAAGGCCGGGGACATACACAAGTTATCTCAATAACCATGGTATAACACTTTTCTCCCGATTCCAGTGTTTGCTGAACAAACAAAAATACAGTGTAAGTTGTATGGACTAACTATTATTTAGAATTCCTGTCCATTTTTATATTTATTTAATTCAAGTTCATCTTTGTTACACTTTAAGTTTACCCTTGGAGTCCGTGATCGTGCAAATGTCAAATTTAATTTAGTCATTATGTCATCCAAGTTAGCCAAAGGTCAATCCATATCAACGCTTGTCCATTCCTGAGTCGTCAGATTTCATGAGAATTCGTCTCAAAGTACGGTCTAAATCCACGACACCTCCATGAAAAAGGGTGATGAATATTTTGTGAGTCTCGAACTGATTAGTGCTTGAGTTCAAGATGCGAAACGGTTATCAGGTTTGAATTATTACAGCTGTGATTTCTATGAATTGGTTATGACCCCCCCCCCCTATCCCCTCCGTGCACGGACCCCTCTACTCAGAAAACGTTACACAATCAAGTATTGACATTGGAACCACTGGAAGACCGGGGACATACACAAGTTATCTCAATAACTATGGTATTAAACTTTTTGTCCCAATAACAGTGTTTGATAAACAAACACATATACAGTGTTATTTGTATGAACTTGCTATTATTTAGGATTTCTGTCCATTTTAATATTTATTTAATCCAAATTCGATCAATATCAACGCATGTCCATTTATTATTGTCAGACTTCATTCGAACTCGTCTCACAGTACGGTCTAAATTCGTCTTTGTGTAATCAATTACAAAATAATTTCATTCAAATGTGTCGCATAGACAAGACAAGACCTTATAACAGACGAGGTATGTATTTAAATGATGCTTTGACAAAATCGGTTACAATCAGACAAAATCGATTCATGCAATTGTCCGTTTGCAGCAAAGGATGACGTACGCGATCTGACTCTAGAGAAATGAGAAGGAAAAAAGGTCATTACCCATTACAGGCACCAGAAATTTAACCAACTAATAATTCATAATAAAACTACCTCTTTCACTCCGCAGTAGTCGTCTTTAATGATGAGCAAGATGCTGTTCATGATGTCTCTGGATGTTGACAGGGGAGCGTATGGCGTACAGATGAGCCGCTTACCGATGAACGGGCCGATGAAGTATCTCCTGATCAAGGAGATAATCCACCATTCCGAGAAATGGTCTAAGTACAAAGTGAGGTGATTCTTTCCAACTACACACCGAGCAGCTTTGTCAGGAGCAGGAACTATCCTTGAAAATTCATCAGACCCTTTCGACAAAACACAAACAAAACAGAGGGGACCGTGTTAATTTGTAACGAATTAAGCTGTCAATGCTCTGGGATTTACTTTCATAAAAACAAAAATAAGGTTAAATTTGTTTAATAAGGGGTCATTGTTTATTTGTGAGCAATTTCGTACAAATAAAATGTCAATTGCTTTTTGGTGATTGGCTAGTAACAAACATGTTTAAAGTATTAGACCATGCATAACACTTTTTTCATTCCCAAAATTGCCCACGATCTTTCCACAGGAATCTGGACAGTGGCGGCTGTATGAACTATGCGACTTAGGCCTATACGTTATTTAAACAAGGTTGATACTGACAATGTTTTTATTCTTCTCTCATTTTGTGGAAGAAATTTTAAGGAGATGATGGTTATGATTATGATGATGATCCTGAAATGGCCGGTGATGATGTAAGAACAAAATGTTCTGATCTATAACGTCAAAACTGTATGACTGCCGGTTCGAAAGTGATAATGCAGTCTTATGCAGAATTGAGTAATTGGTGTTAAACTTTGTGATGTTTGTCCGTTGGTAAAGGAAATCAGATTTGAAACTGTTTTTGTCAAAACAATTATTTTCTTATCAAAACAAGATCACAAAGGCCTTCGAGAAATCAACCCAAGGGCAATTTCAAAAATCTATAATATAAGACGGGTTCAAGAATGTAGCCTATGGCAAACCTGTAATCAAGTCACGTGTTTATGATTTAATTTTTTCCACCACGCCCAGCTGTGCTATTTTTGTGCGGCAGCTATATGCAAGTCGTGTGCAGCACTACGCAAGCTCTGTGCAGTATTCTCGATCTACGCATATCTCGTTGTGTTCAATGTTCAGACGCAATGTAATGCACGGAATTACATTTGACGTGATGGTTGGAACGTACCGTGTGGTACATACCTTTGCCGGGTACCCATATAACACGTTGGTGGAGAGTGCAAACTCAGATTTATGTCTTGCTTGAGATATTGGTGCCGCAAACCGTGAATTCTGTGATCCACAGTCCGGTGACGTATCCACAAGACCACCACATCTCAACAGTTTGTATACAAAGAATAAGGCAACTTATAGGATAAGCTTTTCTTGGGTCTTCAATTCAATATGAATCTTAAAGTGAATTACAGAAGATTCGACGAAGAGAGGGAAATAAAAAGGAACGGAAGGGAAAGGAATTTATATGGGAATATGGGATCTATGGTAAAAGGGAGATCTTACCAGTCTTTCGGGTGTATAGCACAATTTCTGCCTTGTCTGGGTTGCTGAAAATAGCGCTATGCAAGACCGTGACTTCCACCGGAGTTTTAAACTGAAGACCAGGAGGAGAAAGCTTAAGCCCAACTGAGATGACAACTTCGTCTTTTTCAAGGTTTAAGTCAGGTGGAATACTTGGCAATGCTTCTGCTGTGATATATGTGGCTTTGTCCAGATCGTCGGGTGACAGTAGAACCTTGATGCTGTACTCGTCGAGATTTATAATCATTGTCTCTTCTTTGATGCTCTTCCTCGAGGAGATAGAGCTGTCTCGTGGACTGGTAAGATATGGATCGTATGGTCGCGAGGATTGGGGCATATAGCTAGGGAAAGCGGCACCACCAAAAGAACTGCGAAGGTAGTCATAGTGGTCCTCGTCAAACCCAATGACTGGCTTAATGATCTGTTTTGCTTCTCTATTTAAAAGATAGTCATGTATACCCAGATGGCCACCATTAAGAGCAAGGTGTGATGGTGTCCAGTAATCATCAGCAAGTCTCAACAGGTCTGCCCCTTTACTAACGAGGTATTTGACAATATCGAGATGACCCTCCCATGATGCTCTGTGAAGAGCTGTAAACCCATCTTCATCACCAATTTCAATGTCCGCTCCTTTGTTCACGATACACTCGACGACTTCCAGATGGCCTTCTTGAGAAGCATAAGACAAGGGTGTCCTGTCGTTTTTGTCACATTTGTCAAGCTGTGCCCCTTTACTAACAAGTAATTTGACAATATCTAGACGATCCTTGAATGATGCTATGTGAAGAGCTGTCAACCCATCTTTATTACCAATATCAATGACTGCTCCTTCGTTCATGAGATACTCGACGACTTCAAGATGGCCTTCTTGAGAAGCATAAGATAAGGGTGTCCTGTCGTTTTTGTCACATTTGTCAAGCTGTGCCCCTTTACTAACAAGTAATTTGACAATATCTAGACGATCCTTGAATGATGCTATGTGAAGAGCTGTCAACCCATCTTTATTACCAATATCAATGCCTGCTCCTTCGTTCATGAGATACTCGACGACTTCAAGATGGCCTTTTTGAGAAGCACAAGATAAGGGTGTCCTGTCGTTTTTGTCACATTTGTCAAGCTTTGCCCCCTTACTAACAAGGTATTTGACAATGTCAAGATGATCCTTCAATGACGCTATGTGAAGAGCTGTCAACCCATCTTTATTACCAATATCAATGCCTGCTTTTTTGTTCACGATATACTTGACGACTTCAAGGTGGCCTTTTTGAGAAGCACAATACAAGGGTGTCCTGTCGGTTTTGTCCCATTTGTCAAGCTGTGCCCCTTTCCTTACAAGGTATTCGACAATGTCAAGATGACCCTTCAATGACGCTTTGTGAAGAGCCGTTAACCCATCTTTATCACCCTTTTCAATGCCTGCCCCTTTGTTCACGATATACTCGACGACTTCAAGATGGCCTCTTTGAGAAGCACAATACAAGGGTGTCCTGTTGGTTTTGTCACATTTGTCAAGCTGTGCTCCTTTCCTAACAAGGTATTTGACAATGTCAAGATGACCCTTCAATGATGCAATGTGAAGAGCTGTAACCCCATCTTTATCACCAATTTCAATGCCTGCTCCTTTGTCCACGATATACTCGACGACTTCAAGATGGCCTCTTTGAGAAGCACAATACAAGGGTGTCCTGTGGTTTTTGTCACATCTGTCAAGCTGTGCCCCTTTCCTAACAAGATAACGAACCATTTTAACGTGTCCATTGGACGATGCAAGGTGGAGTGCTGTTAACCCGTCTCGATTACAGTTATCAATACTTGCTCCTACGTTCAGTAAGACCTCGACAATACCCAGATGGCCTCCTCCTGTTGCAAGACACAAGGGTGTCATCCCGCTCATGGGTGCTTTGTCACCCTCTACCCCTTCGCCCACGAGAACTTTGACAATGTCAAGGTGTCCCCCAAATGAAGCCAAACTAAGTGCGGTCCAACCATCGTCAGTGCTCCTATCCAGCTCTGCTCCTTGACTGGTTAGAAATTTCACTCCATCAATATCACCAGTTTGTGATGCGGCATGTAGTGCTGTACATCCACCTTTACCACAAGTGTTAATGTTGGCTCCTTCTGTCAAAAGGTACTCTGCAATGTCAAGATGGCCACCATCTAAAGCAAGGTGTAGAGGTGTCCCGTACTCATTAGTAAGTCTCCCTAGGTCTGCCCCTTTACTACCAAGGTATTTGACAATATCTAGATGACCCTTCAATGACGCTATGTGAAGAGCTGTAAACCCATCTTTATCACCAATATCAATGCATGCTCCATTGTTCCCGATATACTTGACGACTTTAAGATGGTCTCTTTCTGAAGCACAAGACAAGGGTGTCCTGTAGGTTTTGTCACATTTGTCAAGCTGTGCCCCTTTACTAACTAGGTATTTGACAATATCAAGATGACCCTCCAATGATGCTATGTGAAGAGCCGTTAACCCATCTTTATTATCAATTTCGATGCCTGCTCCTTTGTTTACGATATACTCGACGACTTCAAGATGTCCTTCTTGAGAAGCACAAGACAAGGGTGTCCTGTCGGTATTGTCACATTTGTCAAGCTGTGCCCCTTTCCTAACAAGATATTCGACGATGTCAAGATGACCCGCCAATGATGCTATGTGAAGAGCCGTTAACCCATTTTTATCACCAATTTCAATGCCTGTTCCTTTGTTCACGATATACTCGACGACTTCAAGATGTCCTTCTTGAGAAGCACAAGACAAGGGTGTCCTGTCGGTATTGTCACATTTGTCAAGCTGTGCCCCTTCGTCAACGAGAAATTTGACAATGTCAAGGCGTCCCCCAAATGAAGCCAAACTAAGTGCGGTCCAACCATCGCCAGTGCTCCTATCCAGCTCTGCTCCTTGACTGGTTAGATATTTCACCCCATCAATATTACCAGTTTTTGAAGCAATATGTAGAGCTGTACCTTTACCACACGTGTTAATATTGGCTCCTTCTGTCAAAAGGTACTCTGCAATGTCAAGATGGCCAGCGTCTAAAGCAATGAGTAGAGGTGTCCAATAATCAATAGCAAGTCTTCCCAGGTCTGCCCCTTTACTAACGAGGTATTTGACAATATCAAGACGACCCTCCAATGATGCTATGTGCAGAGCTGTAAACCCATCTTTGTCACCAATATCAATATCTGCTCCTTCGTTCACTAACAGCTCTACCACATGAAGATGGCCTTTCTTTGAGCATAAATGAACCGATGTCTGTAGGTTAGCATCGACCACATTCACTTTTGCTCCATGATTGGTAAGGCATTTAACCGTTTGCAAATGTCCGTTTTCCGAAGCAATGTGGAGGGCCGTCTTGCCGGACGCATCCGAGCAGTTTACATCAACTCCTCCCGAATCCTCTGACTTGTCCTCCAAGTCGATTAATGATTTTATCTTCAGGAAGTCTCCTTTTGCTGCTGCTGAAAGCAGCGCCATGATAAACGCAATTAACACCCTAACGTTTTTCTATTTATGATATTTCCGTGCTCTCCAAACACAATGTTAGTTATTGTAATGTGGCACTGAACTACTGTGTAAATTAGCCCGTACGCTTTAGTAGCGATGATATTTGGTATATCCTGAAGGAGCAATCAAGCGTGATTATATGAAAGCATTCTATAAATTGGACTTTGCATTCATATTCATATTCGTCTTCAAAAGTCTGACTACGTTACTGTATAATGTATTGCAACAATACAGAACTACTTCCTTGTCATTTCTCTGTGGGATTTTTTGGCCTGAAATATACTTGGTTTCAGATTTGCCCGAAAGAAAAAGAACATGGCGGGAAAATATTTCATTAAGCCTCATTCATAACCAGTGTTGTAGCTTTAGGGTAACGTGACCCCCTATGAATGCAAAGTCCAATTTAGTTTCTTAGGAAGGTTGTGTAACTATGTTAATGAGACTGGGTTAAAACTTGTATATAATGCCGCAATAATGCCACATTTTGATTATGGTGACGTGTTATGGCATTCGGGCACTAAGTCTCAAGTAGACATTTTACAAAAATTACAGAACAGGGCAGGTAGAATTATTCTTAAATATAAATTATCTGAACATAAACCAATCAGTGAAATTCATAATATTTTAAATTGGGAAATGTTAGAAAAGAGACAAGTTAGGCACAGTTATACTTTGATGTATAAAATATTTCACGATTTGGCACCTGAAAGAGAAGTTCATTGTTAAGACTACTAACTATGCCCTTAGAAGTACCAATTTAGTTTTGCCTAAACCGAAAACACAGAATTGTAAGCGTATGTTTCTGTATCGCGGAAGTAAATTGTATAATGGATTGCCTACGCACATTCGACAATCAAGAAGTTTGGCTATATTTAATAAAGAAATACAAATTTTAGTTTGAAATGTTATGACAGAGATAATATACACTGGAGGACTTGGAAATGGGTAGCGGGAGGGGTTGGCAGTATCGAGAGGGTGGCGGGGTGGTGAGGTTAGGGAGAACGATAAGGGGGGGGGGGGGTAGTGTATTGGTAAATTACTTTGATTTTTATAAAAAAATTGATATTGTATGTAAATTAATATGATTTTTGCTTTTGGACCCCATGGAAGAACAGGACCATTTTGAAAATGGTTCTGAAATGGGCTATCCAACCGTTTGTCTATACTTTACACATTTACTTACTTTCTTATCGTTTGAAATGTGTTTTATATGTATGTTTTTTTTTAAAACTTGTATGTATATATGGATTTCGGAAATAAAAACAAACAAACAAACAAACAAACAGACAAGCACACGCACACACACACACACATTCACACACACACACACGCACACATGCACATATATCTATACAGTGCGTAAAAGAAAAAACGAAACCGATAATTATCGATATTTTATCATAACTTAGTCACATTTAAAATTAAAATGACACATATTTGGAAAGCTTGGATCCTCCTCTTTCATTTGATGTAGCTCATATGATGCATATTTCACGCATGAGTGAGTAAAAGCAATTTGAAGAGAGGAAACCAAAAAGTTATTTGGCGGGTGGTTTCTGAATTTCAAAGAATTTCAATTATAGGTGTGATTAAGTTATGATAAAAAATCGATAATTCTCGGTTTCGTTTTTTCTTGTACGCACTATACAGTGCGTCCCAGAAAAACGAAACCGAGAATTATCGATGTTTTATCATAACTTAATCACAATTATAATGAATAAATGACACATAATTGTAAAGCTTAGATCCTCTTCGTTCATTTGATGCAACTCATATGATGCATATTTCATGCATAAGTGATTAAAAACAATTTGAAAAGAGGGTACCAAAAATGCATTTGGCGAACGGTATCTGAATTTCGAAGAGAAAATTACATTTCTAGAAAGTTCATTTTCTGCCCTTTCATATCACACCTCAATTAGGAAAAATGAGCCAGGAAAAATTTATGTTTGTTAAAAGTAATGCTTGCATTTTCATACTTTGATTAAAAGAATTCCTTTTCACTGGCTGCCTGCCGTAGCAACAAACAGAGTTGACAAAAGCTAACTCCGTTTCTATGACGATCAAGATTGTATAGTCTTTCGTCTTCTTTTTTCCCTACTTTTGCGTATGTTACTCTTTGCTTTTATCCTTCTATCATTTCCTCTTTTTGTCTTCATTTTTTAATTCCTTGTTTTCCCTTCTAGCTTCTGTTTTTATTTTTTTCTATCGTTTCCTCTTTCTATCTACAGCAGAACTTAAAGAAAGATAGCTAGATTATTTGGCGGCCGCCAGATATTTCTATCTTTCCTTATGTTATTCTTTGTTTTCATTCTTCTATTATTTCATCTTTCTATCCTTATTTACTTATTCTTTATTTTTCCTTCTATCTTCTTCTCCTTCTATTATTCTTTATGTTAGATTATTCTTTGTTTTTATTCATCTTTTATTTGCTGTTTCTATCTACAACATAACATCAGGAATGAAAGAATTATCTTCTTATCATAATTATTTTATGTTCATTCTATCTTCTTTACTTTCTATAGAATTATCTTCTTATCATAATTATTTTATGTTCATTTTATCTTCTTTACTTTCTACCTTTCCTTATGGTAATATTTGTTATTATCCTTTCATCTTCTTCTCGTTCTACTTTTCCGTATGTTACTCTTTGCTTTTATCCAATCCAATCCAAAAGATATTTGATAAAGCGCCTTTTCCTTGCAGTTACAAAGCGTTGCACACACGCTCCACAATGTTTGGGCCACTTAAAAACAAAAGTTAGACACTTCTCAGAGATCAGTCAAGTATATGTAAGCTGGTAATAAAGTAATTTCTAACAGAATATATGTGACTTGAGTAGTTTCTTGAACTGGTCAACAGATGAGGCCGTCTGCACAGCAGTAGGTAGCTGGTTCCACAGTTTTACAGCAACCGATGGGAAAGACAATTTACCAGCACGTTTCTTAGAGAGACACTGAGTGAGTCAGATGGATGATGATGAGCGGGTATTTCGGACTCGAGGACGACGAACCAAGCAATCAGCTATGTACGGGGGATATCGGTGCATAGTTGAGAGACTTGTAGGCCAGTAGGATCTTAAAAGCTGTTGTCTGTCGTACAGGCAGCCAATGGAGTTCAACTTCGAAGAGGTTGTATGTGAGTCCGAAGAGGAGCAGAAATGACAAGCCTTGCCGCTGAGTTTTGGAGTCTCTGAAGGCGATCAAGGTCCCTCTGGCTGAGAACACTGAAGAGACTGTTGCAGTCTATTCTAGTCTGGAAAGGACAAGAGCCCTCACCGCAGCGTGGCATGTTGAATTATTGATAAACCGCCTCACCCTCCACAGGTAACGTAGGTGGTACTTGATGCCTGAGAAGGTTGACATCGACTCCGGAGCCCAGAATCTCAGTCCGCACTGACCTCCCCCAGCCCTCAAGGCCCGGCGCGGTATTCTCACCAACGCTGCTTACAAGCTGAGAAAAGGAAAGGGCCTATCTACACAAATCTTCCTGAAAAATACCACCATGCACCTTAAGTGGAAAGATAAAAAGTCTTCCAAATGGAATGAATACCAGGACTAGAATTCTAAGGCTTGTGATTTCATGATTATACTAGACATTTCACCTTGGTCATTTTATTTCAGTTTCTGATTGACATCACGAAAAGTCAGTTTACATAGAATTGAAGATATATCAGTCGTAATAACGATAAACGATTTATGTCAATGTTTTTTAAAATTTAGATATTTATTAATTTAGTATTTTGAACCTGTGCATTTGTTTCGTTAGATTTCTATACGCCAAATTATTGTCAGTTCGCCATGAGTAATTTTCCATTCCAAGCATTATCTAATGATGAGTTTTTTTTAACTCAGTACCCACTAGAAGTATAAATATGAACCATCAAAACACTTCCTATTTTTACCAGGAAATGACAACTCGCTTGAATTCACAAATGCCGGATTTTAACTTGGTTAATGTCTTAATGATGAGAACGATACTTCATCGCATAATAAATGTTCTGCCTATTTGTTACCTCAACATATATTTACAAACGATAACTTGTCAATAATAGCAAGTCCATACAACTTAAACTGTATATTTGTTTGTTTAGCAAACACTGGAATCGGGACAAAAGTGTTATACCATGGTTATAGAGATAACTTGTGTATATATGACCCCGGTCTGCCAGTGGTTCCGATGTCAATACTTGATTTTGTAACGTTTTCTGAGTAGAGGGGTCCGTGCACGGAGGGGGGAGGGGTGGGTCATAACCAATTAAACAAATCACAGCTATAATAATTCTAACCTGGTAACCGTTTCACATCTTGAAGTAATAATCAGTTCGGAACTCACAAATTATTCATTATCCGTTTTTATTGAGGTGTCGTGAATTTAGACCGTACTTTGAGACGAATTTTAATGAAATCTGACGAGAATAAATGGACAAGCGTTGATATGGATTGACCTTTGGCTAACTTGGATGACATGATGTGACTAAATTAAATTTAACATTTGATCACGGACTCCTAGGGTACAATGATGAATTTGAATTAAATAAATATCAAAATGGACAGGAATGCTAAATAAAAGTTAGTCCATACAACTTACACTGTATTTTTGTTTGTTTAGCAAACACTGGAATCAGGACAAAAGTGTTATACCATAGTTATTCAGATTTGTGTATGTTCCCGGTCTTCAATTGAAGAAATTAATAATCATTTATCTTTTTGCACTTTCAATGCTAACAGTTTAAATGACCAGAAACAGCTGCAGGGTAACGATGATGATCTTAACAATTCGGTCGTGATCATGGAAAATGATTGAAATATTTGAAGTCTTTTTTACCATCCATATATTTTTTGTTTTGCAGGATAATTTGACCGAACGTTACTTTTGGATTCAGCAGCAGTGATGGATCGCGACATGCTTCAAATCTGATGTAAACCAGATATATACTCCACGGCTATACGAAATAGATAACATTGGGA